ATTCAGCCAAAAAAAAATGTTCCAGGTAGAAAGTATTTGATAAGTAGTCTAGACTCTGAAAGGTATGGAAATTTCACAATAACAATATTAATCATAAAAATTCTGTGAAAAGAAAAAGTAGATAATAAATCATAATTTATAGACACAAATACATACATCTGGAATAATATGAAGCTGATTTTTCACATATTTGTAGCTAATTCTTAGATCAATTTTTTACATACATTTACATTAGGATTGGGTGATTGCATAAAAATTTTACCATCTATAGAGAAAATCACTTCATGGAATAACGAATCCTCGACAATCACAACCCATTGATGTCATTGAACATTTAGCATCAATAAAATGAAAAAAATATAATAATAATTTTCTGGTTTAAATGAAAAAAAATCAGGTCAAATATAGCCAATTAAAATTGATGGATCGAACAACAGAAATATAATAAAAAACAATAACCATAAGATATTGACGACATCTGGCGACAAAAGTGTGAGTTAAAAATTGAATACAAATAAAGAGATTCTTTTGGAACTGGATTCTTGATATTTATGTGCATTTTCAATTCACAAACACATATACACACTTGAAAGAAAGAACCATAATCCATCATTTCATTTCATTGAAAAGATTAATTTCGAATTCTTTTGATCATTTAAATTCGTTACAGATGAAAATACGATTCATATGAATTCATCATATGATGAATATCAATATCAATTTACTTTGAATCGACTTGACTTACAATCAACGATCAAAAAAAAAAAAAAGTATGATGGAAAAATTTTTGTTTTTTTCGTTACTATTGTTGTTGGGTAATTTTTTTTTTTAACAACTTTTTGTATAGAAAGTATCAAATCTGAATTTCAAATTCGTTGTTGTTGTCTTGTTGCTTTTTGCTTTTTTCTTTGGCTATGAAAGTTTCAAAACTCATCAACAAAATGAATTCTGAATTCTGGGTGAAGTTTTTTTTTTTCTCACTGGATGGATATCATGTGTATAATTTGTTTTTTTTTTGTTTCATGGTTTGCATCGCCATACATTATTTTGTTTGCATTCAATTATGATTTTTTTCCCAATATTATTATTATATATAACTTGCATTCAATTTCAAGTTTCAGAGTTTTATTTTTTTTTTTTTTTGTTCCCAATGAAAATATTCATATTTTTTTTATATTCTGCTTCTTGCTGTGTTATTTATATGTAGAAAATGATGATGATGATGATGACGATGAGGCAGCTACGTATGAAACTGATTGATAGATGGGTTCATTTGTCTTGGGATTTCTTAGTCCGCTTTATTGGCTATGCAAAATTATATATCATTTTTATTCATCATATGATGAAACTTTTACTTGAACACTGTGTGTTTTCTATGTGTATAGTAATGAGCGAGATGGTAGTGAAAAAAAAAATTTCGTATGTTTTATAAATGATGACATGAAATGATGTTCCAAACATAAAGACAATAACGACAATAACAAAGAAAAAAAAGTTTTAAACGTGTACAAAAGTTTCGAAATTTTAATCTACAATTTCCATATATATATAGTAATATTAATTCATGTGAAATTCATCAAAATGAAAGAAAAAAAAAAAAATTTTTTTTCTGTTTCCAAAGAATCAATATATGATAAACTGATATAGGATGATGGACAATTCACAGAGATTCTAGTATCGATTAGTAAAAAAAAAAAAAAAAGAAAATTTCGAAGCTTTCATCATCATCATCATCATCGAAAAGATAATGGCATGGTTCATCATAATTGGAAACATGAACCATTCAAGCAGAACTGTAAAGTTACTTTAAAAAGGAAAAGGAAGAAAAAAAAAAATTTGTGCTCATGTGAAATCAAATACTTTATAAAGATCATTTCGTTATGTTCATTTGTTCATTGCTCACTTTATAGATAGGCGTATTTTTATTTTTTTTTTTTTTTTTGTCTGTCCTTCGATGTTCTTTGTACATTTTTTTCTGTTATATCATCATGACATTAATTAATCACACATATTTTACAAAATAAAATGTTAGGTGTCACGAGAAAAAAAAATCCGACCAAAAATCAATGTTAATATATGTGTTCTTTTGGATAATAAAGAAGATACACAGAGAAAAGAAGATTATAATGTTGGTTCGAGATTTGTAAAGAATGGGCCAAAAAAAGAGAGAGAGAGAGAAGAAAAACGAAACCAACCAGATCGATCATTATGCTGATAACAGTGTGATCACAGAATTTTCTTCTTCGGTTCGTTTCATCTTACTTGTATATATACTCTCTATAAGAGAGACTAAGAATATCTCTTTCTCTCTCTCTTTTTTTGTATTTGTGTTGATTAATTGTTTGTCTAATTGTGATCGAAAATAACGGTTCTTTTTTTTCCTATTCGGTTAGTTGTTTGATGACGATGATGATGTTATGTACAATCATCCCAAATGGATAGAATCAATAGATGACCAAAAAAAAATATAGTAACGGCTAGCTGGATAGAATCCTTGTATAGCAATTATATCATATGAACAAACAACAACAACAACAACAACAACAGAAAATTATACGGGTTATCCGAGAATTCCCGGGGCTATTGATGATGATCATGTTGGTTTCGTTATTGTTGATGTTGCTTGTTATTTGAGTACACAACTGAATTTATTGGTTAAATTTATTTGTAGATTCATTGCATGTATTCCAACACAACTCACATTTTGTTTTAATTCAGCCAAAGAATGTTAAGAATAATCAAAATCGACTGAAAAAATATATAAAAAACAAAAAAAAAAAATTGTGGCTACTCACTTTGTATTGCTTCGGTTGATCCAATGATAATAGATACAAATATAATGTTGATAATAAGGATTAATATGGTCCATGGCCTTCTGTTTGTCCAATCAGAATTATAATGATGATGATGATGTTGATGATGTTGATAATGATTATGATGGCAAACGGCTATCCTTTCATTATTATTATGTAAAGAATTCATTGAATGATAATGAAAACAGCTATTTGGATGGAATTCCGTTTGGAATGTGGATGGTAAACTGAAATATTTTTTGCCTATATTATTATAATTATTATTATCATTGCCATCGTTGTCATGAACGGTGGAAGGAATTCCAATCTGATACGGAAATTTCATCATCATGTTTCAAATTACATGTTCCACCGCCACCACCAAGAGAAGAGAATATGTTTTTCTTTTCTTGTTTTTTTAACCTCTATTATAGACCGATTTCAATTTTTTTTTTTCTAGTTGTGTGCAGTTTTTTTCCTTTTGGTTTTTTAGAACAAAAAAAAAATTGAGACTCAGGTTTTTATTTATTGGCTAATTCATGACTTTGAAATATTTCATTTGAGAAAAAATTTTTTTTTTTGCTGCGGCTGCAAAAATTTTCGAGTTTTGTTTTTTTTTTTTTTAATTGAAATCAATCGGTAATTGCAAGGAAACCAAAAACTTTCATTTTTATTCGTATTGTGGCCATCATCATTGTCATCATCAAGAAATTATTGTGAAAATTTTATTGAAAGTTTTTTTCCTTGGTATTTTGCAATATTCTAGCTTGTCAATGTTTCATCGTCGTCGTCGTCGTCGTCGTTGAAATCGATTGTTTTTCGTTCCTATAAATCAAACAAACAAAAAAAAAAAAAAAATGAACATTAATAAATATATATATGAAATACAAACAGAGAAAACAACATTCTGAAGAAAAAAAAACGTATCTCAAACATGAAATAAAATTTTTGGGAAAAAAAATATTCTGAACCCAAGAATTTAATTTGCTCATTTCATTGTATTATACTGACAAGATTATTCTCATTTTTTTTCTCATTCTTTCTCTCTCTCTCTCCTCTATCTATCTGGCCATTTGAGTTTTCCCACCATGTTTCGTTTTTTTCAAATTTAAAATTAAAATTTTTCCTTCTTTTCAAAAAAAGCATATATTAGATGATGAATTGAATTGAATTGAATGAATGAACGAATAATAAAATGAAATTCAAAAGCATGGAATGAGCAAATACAAAATAGATTCTAGATATGAACAACAAAACTATATGAAGAATAAGCTATAATGTAATAGTGAAATGGATAGTACACTATTATTGTATACGAGAGCCACAAAATCAGATCATCATTCATGAAGGAATGAGAAAAAAAATAATGTTTTAACATAGCTTTTCAAGTTGAAAATAAAGGTAAATCATCAAGAAGCATTTCGTAAAAAAAAATTGAAAAGTTCAATCCACCAGATATTTTTGATTTATTTGATTTTTTTTAATTCGTTATTTGATTTTTTTAGATTTTTTCATTCTTGGAGAAAAACAGAATTAAAATTTAACTGGAGAAAAAGCAAAACCTCAAATTTCGGCCAGAATAAGAAAAAAAAACTAAACTTGATAACGATAACAACAAAATAGGAAAAATAATAGGTACAACTTTTTTTAACGGTAATTCCAACAACAACAACAACAAAAAATTAAATAAAATTTCTAAAAAAAAACTTTTTGAATTTGCTGATCAAGAAAAAAAGTGAGAAACATTCATCAAACAAAAGTTTTAAGTTAGTGAAACGATAATTAATCAAGCTACTGTTCAAGCTTTCCTGTCATGATTCTATTTGCGTTATTAGTGTGTTGGCGGTTCGATGATCCTAGAAGAAAAAAAAAGATTCGACCTTTTCAACCGTAAAAAATGTCCCAAATGTTCCGAATATATTTGAAATGAAAACTCATGATACTATCGATTTCAAAAAAAATTTTTCAATCTTTTGCGCCATCTACATGTGAAATTTAAAAGCACAAAAATGTACCAAAAGTTTATTGTAAAAAGTACAAATGATAAAAAAACCATTTTTTTTTATTAGAAAATCATCATTTTGTATACTACGATTTTGAATATAATAATAATAATGATGATGATGATTATTACGTTTAACTGATATTAGACAATAATCATATGACATTGCAATCTGTTGTTAGAGCTATATAGGACAATCATTTTGTAAATAATGAGTGTATATAATCGAATGTGTACTTAGAACAAATTGTCATGTACTCAATTACATTGGCAATATAAATATGAAATCATTACACAAGATGATTCAATTTTTATGCATTCAAATGTGACAAAAAATTGCATGATGGACATTATTATTGGTTTGATCAATTCAATCGGACGTACCGGCATTGTTATCGTTTTGTTATCGTTGCTATATTGGTAATTATAAAGTAATAACAGATTTAAGTTTTGTAATTTTTTATTTCAATTTCATCAAGGTACATTCGAACCAAATACAGTTATTGGAAACAAAAAGGTATCGATGGTCCACCTGTAATACCGTTTTTGGGAAATTTTTTTCTACCTCACAAACCGGTTGCATTATTACATCAGGATTATGTTCGAAGATATGGGAAATTTTTCGGGTATAAATATTCATGCATAATTTCAGATTATTTTATTGAAAAATATCCATATTAGTATGTATCAAGGTCGAAAACCAATGCTATGCATCGCCGATCCTGTTATTATCAAACGTATTCTGGTACAGGATTTTCCTATGTTTCGAAATCGAATCAAACAAACAACTAGGCATAAAATTTTCTCACAAAATCTAGTCAATGCACGTGATGAATCATGGAAACGTATCCGATCAATATTGTCACCAATGTTTACAAGTTCAAAAATGAAAAAAATGGAAGGTATGATTGATCAATGTGCCGATTCGATGATTCAGGTTTTTGGAAAATTGGCCGATAAACAAGAATCATTCCTCGTACATGGTGTCATGGGTAATTTTACGATGGATGTCATTGCCAAATGTGCGTTTGCAACGGATACAAACGCTCATAATGATAAGGAAAATATTTTCGTTCAAAATGCAAGATCTTTTTTCAATTTCAATCTATTTCGAATGTTATTGCTCATTATTACCCCATCGGCTTTGATCCAGTTGTTTGCCAAATCTAAAATACCACCATATTATTCGAAAACTGCTGATTTTTTCATGAATATGTCGTCACATGTTATTAAACAAAGACGTGAAAATAAAACAAAACAATGTGATGATATGCTACAATTGATGATCAAAGCTGAACATGCTAAAGAAAAAAGTTTTGAAAAAGAAGATGCGATCGATTCACATCATGTTAATCAAGGTAAGAAAATATAACAAACAATAAGATTATCGTTATTAATATTTTAAAAAAACATTTTGATAGGTGAAGAAGAAATCTATCAAGAGGAAGAGATTTTTCGAGAAATTATCGGATCAAAATATTTGAATGAAGAAGAAATCATTGCACAATCTATGGTTTTCCTTTTGGCTGGTTATGAAACAACAGCATCGACACTGACATTTTGCATGTATGAATTGGCTAAACATCCGAATATACAGAATAAACTTTATGATGAAATCAAAACCATTATTGATCGTGGTGAAACATTAGATTTCAATAATATAATGAAACTACCTTATTTGGATGCAGTAATTTCCGAAACATTACGTAAACATCCACCTGCACTTTTATTAAGTCGAGAAGCAATGGAAGAATATCATATACCAGAATATAAATATACATTAGAAAAAGATGAGGCCATTACCATTCCGGTTTATGCTATACATCATGATCCGGAATACTATCCCAATCCAGAGACATTTAATCCGGATCGTTTTATGCCCGAAAATCGTCATAACATTGTTCCGTACACTTATCTACCTTTTGGCGGTGGCCCTCGAAATTGTATCGGAATGAGATTTGCATTATCCGAAGCGAAATTAGGCTTAGCTAATTTACTAAAAAATTTCATCATCATTGCGACGGATAAAACCTGTGATCGATTACAGGTGGAAAAAAGTTTATTCCTAATGAAAACCACTCCGATTTATGTTGGAGTGAAGAGACGAATTTGATCGCCATCTATAATTATGTTTCCGAAATAGCCTTTGGAAATATTGAACAAAATTCTTTATTAAAGATCTGAAAAAAAAGAAGATCCAATCAAAAACAAAAGATGGCACATGAGGTGAAACAAGACATCTTTTTTTCTAATTAAAAACGAACAAAAAAAAAAGAAAAACTTGTTTTATCTTATCGTCGAAACCATTTGACATGTTTATGAATTTTTATACTTGAAAATATTTTTAAAATCAGAGAAAAAAACGATACTTTAGGCTCCTACACAAACAGACAAGTCTCTCTATCACCAAACAACAAGATAACCGACACAGATACCAACACACACAAACACGCAAAAGACTGATTTTAAAAAATAAAAAAAATAAATCATCAAAATTGTGTCAAAGCAATGATTTTCAGTGTTGAATTTCTGAAAACACATAACCCTTTTGAATAAAAAAAATAAGGCTAAAGAATTTTTGGCAATCGTCTTTTTTTCCAAAGAAGTCATATTTTTATTAAAATGAGTGGTGCAAATAAAATTCAAAACAATTTTGGTCATTATCATTATCAAGAGAAATAAGTTAAAAGAAGAAAAATCGACCACTTTATCTCCAAATTGCGATTGGTTTTTTTTTCATGAAATGTACCCATTTTAAATGATTTCATTATTAATTAGTATTCTCGCTGTTAACTATATATAACACATGAACGCAAACACAAAATATAAATGCACCTCAATAGTAACGATAGGATTTTGATGGTGATTTTTATCTTTTTCAATTTTTTTCTTTATGCATATGATTTTAAAATCAAATCCATAAAGGTGATTGCACATTCAGCCAACGCGAATGAAATCAATTGCCATTTACCAAATTAAATGGTCGATGGATTGATGTTTAGAACCATTTTTTTGTTTGAATTTCAATGAAAATAAATTTCGATCAAACATTTTCAAAATGTTCACATAGATTGTTTTGTGATAAAAATCATCATTTTCGTGATTTAAGTTGATTTTTTTTTCATTTAATCATTGAAAGAAAAAAAAATATTAGGCGCTTCATTAAATCATCAATGAATTTATTCGTTTTTGTGTGTTGTTTCAATTGGAATAGAATCGGAAGAAGAAAATGATGATAATAATAATAATAACGAATGGGTTAAAACGGAAATGACATGACATTCACATTAAATTTAAATGAATGATTCTTGATGAAAAGAAAAAATATTCAACTATTATCTATTTCAAAATAGAACTAGAAATAAAGTCAAATCGCATTTTATTTAAATTTTTTTTTGTTTGTTGAAAAATTCCAATTTTACTAGAATAATTGGCACATTCAAGGAGTAAATATTCTGTATATATGAGTTTATTATTATCAACAACATTATATTGTTGACTAATGTTTAAAATGTAGAAAAGAAAAAATAAAAAAAACGAAAATTTTCAAAGTTCTTGTTGACATCGAAATGTCACATACACACACTACAAGAATCTGTGTGTGTGTGTGTGTGTGTGTGTTGATCTATTGGAGCGAAAACGAATTCAATGGAGAAAAAAGTATAAGCATTCATGGAAAATAATCGTTAAATAACGTTTGAATAAACAACGATGGATCAACAGAGAAAAGAAATCATTCTCTTCATCCTGTTTTTGTTGTTGTTGTTGTTGTTGATTTATTCAAAATTTAGTTGATGATGATGATGATGATGATGATGCTAATTATTCTCTCTGCTCGGTTTGTTTGTTTATAGTAAGCATCATTTCGGTTTCATTTGTGCATTTGGGATTTCTTTTGAATGGTTTATAAAGAAATGAAACCAAAAAACAATAAAAAAATGGTTTATTTCAAAATTAGAAACAAAACATTTATTTTATCATATCGGAAATTTTCTCAGTAATCTCGTGACTTTAGCAAAAACAACAACAACAAATTATTTCAATTCTATAGTAAAGAATGTAAAAAACCTGACCCAATAACAAAACAGATAAACGTCATCAACAAAAAAAATCTAAATGCAATTTATTTTTCGTACTAAATATGGCGAAAAAAAAATTGTGGAAAAAAAGTCGATAATAAACCTGACAAGAAAACAAGCAACAAATAAAGACAACAAACAACAAACAAAACATTATCAATTCAAAAATTATTACCACAAACATTGAGCAAAAAAAATAAAATCAAAAAATAAGCTCGATAATTCGGACGAGTTAGATATGGCGAAAAAAAATTTTTTTTAGTTTCTTTCTCATTTCAAAACATCGTTACATTCAATGTAATTAAGATAAATCGTAATGACACTTGAACAACAACAACAAAAGCAAAAAAAAAATTCAAGGTCCAAAGTGAAGAGCACCAAGTATAGAAAAAAGTATTCCAAGACATTACATTATACAGAAGAAAAAAAACCCATAGCACAGAGAAAGCGAATCTATGGTCTAAAATCTAATCATAATGATATTTTATCCTCTTTTTTTTCTGGTATGTATTCAATTTTCATTCTTTTTTTTTGCCATGGCAAAGATGATTATCATTATTATTAGAATTCATATATTTAGCAAGAGTTAATAATTAGCTTACTGGAATTAAAAATGTGTGTGTGTGTGTCTGTATGTCAAGCTTTAACAAGCCGAGAATAATGAATTTTGTTTTTAAAAAATTTTATCACAGATAAAATAGTGGGTGATTCTGGCACTGTTTTCACCAAATCCTGTTGGTTCGTTGCAGAGGACAAACAATGTTTTAGCTATATGGCAATGAATTATTTTCCATTTTTTTACATCGTTCACACTAGAGATCTCAATTTGATGTTGGATGTACCTGGTTAATAATAAGTTTTTTTTCAATTTCAAAAAAAAACAGAATGAATGAATATTATGAGATTTTTTTTTTCATTCTCTAGACACAAATTCTCCAACAGTCGACAAATTATGATATTAAATTTTTAATCAAAATCACTAAAATGAAAGTCAAATTGGAAATATTCTGAACAAGCAAGTAATTGTAACAAATGAATACGGCTTAGATTCAAACTTTCTTCTTTTTTTTTTCTACAAACTATGATGATGGTGATAATCATTGTTGTCAATGGTGTAGAATTGTAAAAATCACACAAATCATTCGATGTTATTGTATTTGAACAAAAGTTTAGAATGCTTAGATATGAAGAAAACTTTTTTTTACATGTTTGCAAACAGAAAAAAAGGTCGATCCTAGAGACCAAAAAGTGTTATTACAACAGCCGTTATAATCAAATTTTTTTTTGTTTGTTCTCACACCAAGTCGTGTGTGTATGCATAATCAACACTTTCGTATTCATATTCATATGATTAAAATGAAATGAATTTGAATTGAATTAACGCACAAGAGTTGTTTATAACACGAATTAAATAACTTTGGATGGTGACTAGAATACGAAAAGCCACACACACACACACATAGCCATACACAGCCATAACTGGATAACACAATGACAAGATTATTGCTTCTGGGCTTTTTGACAACTGATTCAATGATAATTTTCTAATTTGTAGCTAATTTGAATCTGATGTAAAGTTTTTGTTTTTTGTTTTCAGTGATCAATTTTTTGCGAGTATGTGAATAAAACGTTTCGAAAAGAAACGAAACAACCCTAAACTTGATTAAGGTACGGTACGTTTTACGTTGTTGTTGTTGTTGTTGTCTTTATTTTCTATTTAACCATCATAGTAGTTTCTTTTTTTTCTGGGTTGTCATTTGTTAAGGTTTGGGTTTGTTTGTATGTGTGTGTGTGTGTGTGTATGTTGACAAATGTTTTACGTGCATAAAATTCTCAATCAACCCAATTCTTTGAGAGAAAAAAACATCGAATTCGTGTAATATTTATGCAAATAAGGTTGGACAATTTTTTTCGTTATTGCTGCTGTTGTTGTTGTTGTTGTTCATTGATGGAAAAGATTTTCAAAAAAAAGATGAAAGAAAAATATAATATTCAACTCTTACTTTTACATTCAAAATGTTCAAGTTGAATAATAATAAAGAAAAAATGAACGAAAGAAAAACGACGAAAAAAAATTCTAAACTTTTTTTCCACTGAAAAAAAACAGCATATTTGCAATGGAATAAGCAGAGAGTAAAATAAATTCTACATAGAATACAAAGAATTTAAAGTTCACTACACACACATAGACATCCAACGATGAGAACGAAGGAGGAAGAAGAAAAAAAAATTTCCATTTTGTCCAATTTTTTTTCAACATCATCATCATCATCATCATCATTCAACTAACGATTCAATATTGATTTTCCATTATGAGAATGCAAAACAAGAAGAAAAAAAAATACATCAGTTTCGTTTGTTGTTTGCTTTCGAAACAATAATAACAACAACATTAATTCCGTCCAATAGTAGATAGGATAAAATGAAAAAAAAATTACTTTTCAAATTTGGTTGATACTCGCTTAGATTTTAGTGTGTGTGTGTGTGTGTGTGCGAGTGTTTTTGTGTAAGATGTGCGGTAACAAATAGTGATCATAATAATTAAAACAAGAAAAAAAACAACGGAAAAGTTTTAAAGTAGAAACAAACAAACAAACAAAAAAAACTCAAATGAAAATCCAGTCTGGTAGTGATAGTATAGAATCTAGATTCCGGATCGATTTTTGTTTTTTTTTTTTTTGGTTCGGGGACCACATATACGCAACAAAACGATAATTTTATGCTAGAAATTGTTTTTGATCGCCTTATCATCCTCCTCATTCTCATTCTTCATCATTGTTTAAAAATTGGGAATTTTTTTTATTTTTTTAACCAACTTTCACAGTAAAAATAAAAAGGCTAAACGTCAACCAATGGAATTTATCTCCTTTTTTTAAGAGGTTGAATCATTGTACCTCTTTCTGTTTGTATATATTATACAAGCTAAAACAAACGTTATTTTTTTTTATTTGAATGAAAATAGTTAAAACAAAAGATTGGTGCTGATGATGATGACAGAACGTTTCAAATATATTAGCAGAGCTTCATAACCATTTAAAAATTTCGAATCATTAATTTCTTTTTTTTTTTTTAAATTTTGCTGGTCTTCTAAATGGGGGTTATTATGTAGGGTGAATGGGCAAATGTGACTAAATCAGTTACAGACCAAAGAAGGATTGTAAAGACAAACATCGAACAAAAAACATTTCAACAACAACAATCCCCACACATTGTATACGACGCAAGGATATTGAGTCTTTTTTTTGTTTGTTTGTTTGTTTGTCTCGTATTTATGCGAGAACAGCAACAACGAAAAAAAAATTCTATATTTAGTGCCCATCATTTTCGTGCTACATGGTTGAATTTTTTTTTCACATCATCAATGTTCATCCAGACACACAAATGTTCTGTCGGTGTTAATGGGGATTTTTCTCTCTCTTTATTTCATTACTTTAATTCGTCTTGCTACCGAAATGTTTAATGCAATGGAAATTGTTTTAGTTTTATGAAAGACAAA